CGAGCTGGCGCTCAAGCCTCCAGTAGTCGAGGCCGATGGAGGGGAGAGGTTGGATGGCGGTGTGAGCTAATGCCAATTCTTCTCCCACCATGATAATGAAGTCCAGGTCCCCGAAGCGCACGTGTGCGCCTAGGACCTAGCTAATACCGTGGCTAGCCATCCGTGGCCTAATGTTAATGTCGGAACGTGCAAAAGCCCCCTAACTGGCGCGCCAACTGTCGGTGTTTCTAGTAAACACCAACGAGTAAATTTGTGTTATTGCGCGTCTAACCCGGATGGTGTGCTAAAAGACACAAGGTTTATATAGGTTTGGGCAGAATGTCCCTACGTCTAGTTTGTGGCTGCTGCTCATGTTATTAGCACTGAAAAGTTCATAGTAGGGGTTACAAACGGGCAAGAGAGGGAAATGTCCCAAGTCTCAGATGGAAAGGTTGAATGGGTGCTGAGAGCTTGGTGGATGCTCAGCTATGTGTGATGTGATGCATGGTGCCTTGAATCCCCCCTTTAGTGGGGTGCCCTACTGTCCCTTTTATAGTCCAAGGGAGAGCCCGGATTATAGATGGAAGAAAGAAGAAAACCCAGAGGTAAAGGAGGTCCTTCAAAGATACCGGGTCTTCTTTTTCCTCTGTGCGAGCCCCGCTAACAAGGTAGGCGGTGCTAGGGATAGCCCCATGCTGGGAGCACGTCCGTTGATCATGTCATGTCCTGGCATGGTGTCGGTTACGACGTCAGTCAACTGCGACGGCCCAAACTTTGTGTTGGTGGTGGCCATGGCTGAAGCTGCAATGCAATTTGTAGAGGATTGTTCTGTTGTAGGAGGAGGATTGTTATTGTTATCAAGGAGGAGAAGAAAAATGGAACAGAGACACAGGAGCAATAGCAAGGTGGTGGTGGTGGCATCTTGTGATAGTACATTGCAATTGCATGCTAGCTACTATCATCTGCTACTTGTTGGAGTCTCGAGCTCTAGGGTCGTGGGCCTTTGTTGGCTTGGATGGCCTCAAAAGTCAAGGCCATTGCTAGAACCCCATCCCGAGCGAGGGGTCGTGACGCTTGTCTCGTTAGGCGGTATTTGAACGGTGGGTCATCGTAGTGGCCGCCACCGCTTGGTGTTGTTGTCTTGTCTTCACAAGTGGCGTGAGGGATGATGTCGGCCGACGAGAGGGACCTTGTCCCCTCGGTCCTTGCTGTGGTCAGTCAGCGTGCCTACTCTTGTCGAGCGGACGACTTTTGCAGAAGTCCGATCTCTCCCATTCCTCCTAGGGGTTGGGACGGAGGAGAGGTCGTGTGAGGTCATGTGGCGTCAAGGTGAAGGCAGAGAGAAGAGGTCATGGCCGACTTCCGCTTTGGTGTTTGGCCCAGTCCACGTAGCTTAATTGGGCCTTAGTCGCTCGGGCATATACCAGTTCATGTACCGTGGGCCGCCCGAGCGGCTGACTAATCGATATCTTGAGATACCCGAGGTATCATAACCCGACACTATATATTAACATACTTATTTATTAAATAGTGTTGAAGATACTATTAACAAATTGTGAGACCCTCATTGCACCTCATGTAATGATAGGTGAACTCACCGTGTGAGTTTATCATATGTGAATAATTGTTCTAAAAATTGTAGCAGCAAAAGCAACAACAACCAAACTGTCGGCATGAAATTTCCTCCCGTGCCGAGGGCACACGAGCAAGCTGGAAGGGTCCGCTCGATGGAGCTGGAGATCCACCTAGCTTCAGCGCAGGGATGGTCGATCCTGCGCACTCCTCTTGAGACGCACCAGTCAATTTCACCCTGCAATTGATAAGGAGAGAAAAGCTAATCAATAATTTAAGGCGGAACATGCCGGTGTTGCCAGACAGTCCCGAATGTGCGGCTCTGAGAGCCGATATGGAAGGAAATCGACTAAATAGTCGATTCCAGCATACTCATAAGAATAAATCAGTTTAAACTTATGGGGTTGTGTAAGAAAAATCGGTTATCATTCAGGATGAATATCGTTATTTAGACAAATATTAGTCAATGGCAATAAGATATCAACAATAAGTAGTTTATGCTAAGCCAATGACTGTAAGTAACCGAATCTCTTTTATATAAAAGAAACAGCTCATCATCATTTAACCATTTAATAAAGATAAATCTAATGAATATTTTAGATCTCATCTATCGCTATGACCAGTGGGCCATGAGGCAGAATCATGCAGGCCGTAGAAACAACAATAGATTCGATGACCCTAACTTATTACTAATATCAATGGGGCATGAGACAGAATCATGCAGACCGTAATACAATAATAAGATCATGGGCCTAACACATCTTTTAACATATCTTTACTTCAACGGTCTCGTAACGTGAACTGTATATATGAAATCACTTGATATCGACTAAAACAGCCGATTCAGGCATAGCGCACAGTTAACGTCATGCACTATCAGAAACAAATCTACCAAATAACGATCCCCACTCCACAGTGCTAACAGTGGGGTGTGAGGCAGAATTACACAGACCGTGATAACGGGCCATGAAACGGTTTTCGTTAGCCAACAGATCCATTCAAGACAAAACATGCCTTAACCGCACACTATGCACGATCAAGATTGACATAAAACGGTCGATAAAACATAACTCATCGTTTAAGAAGCAGATTAGATCAGTTTAGATTAATAAACGATGGGTTAAACAGGATGTAAGGCCGATCTAGATCAATCCCAATCAGGCGAAGTGATATTGCTGTAATTAAATAAATAATGGAAGCAATAAATAATATCGGTAGCTTAATAAATCTATCCGAATGAACGCTACCTTTAGATAGAGCCGATAACTTGACCTTAATCTAGTTCGAGCAGTGAAGGTCGACCGGATCGATACAGCCTTACTTGAACTAGATAAGAGTCGATAACTAGCTTATACCGGAGTCGCAGTGGATGTCGACCGGATCAATGCAACCGTACGAACAGAAGTATAAACCATGACGGTACTTACAAACAAGCAGTGGAGGTCGACCGGATCGATACAGCCGTACTTGCTGAAGAACTCGCTGAGATCTACTTTACTCCTACTCCTAAGGGGTGGCCTTAGGCCTCGTTCGGCTTGCTAAAACTTGGCTGAAAGTGGCTGAAAAACACTGTTCCGGCTGAAATGTTGTGAGAGAGAAACACTGTTCCGGCTGAAAAAGAAGCCGAACAAGCCGGATATAAGGTAAGCCGAACGGGGCCTAACTTGTATTTGATTAATTGTGTGTCCTTTTACAATAGCCGGGGTCCAATATTTATACCCGGGACCTACGCATGACTCCTACCTAAACACGACTCATCACAATTTTTGGCCTAAGAGAAAATATTCTGAATTTAAGATAACTTGGACCATAATCTTTCCCTTTTTGGGAAGTCCAACATGTTTTGTTCCGGCGCCGATCATAGCCTTTGTCGTTATTTGCTGACGCTATCTGAATAAAGCCGATTCCAGTGTTGCATTCGAATCAGCTGATACCCACCTGCATGCAATTGATCCCTTGATGACATGGTCTTGGGAACTTTTCGAGTCTCTGCGATTGTTCTTCCAAATTTTAGTGTAAACACAAACACTCACATAAGAAACTATGATGTGTCTAACTTGGGACATGTTAAGTAACCTGTAGACACATTCTAAACATGACCTTAATATTTTGTTCAACTACACTAGTTATCTCGTCTCAATCAGAAAAAAGATTGAATAATTTGTAGATGGTAACCAATAGACAGAGAGTTTTCTATCAATGCCATATGATGGCCAAGACCTCTTTATTCGGTCACGTTATCCTACCACTGTTACAAAAAAGGTTCTAGAGACGACTAGAACGAGCTTATAGGATCCGCACGTCTCTACTTATGTATTCGTAGGAATCGTTGTATACACATGCTCGCCTAGTCTAAGTCATGTCACAAACGTGCATGAGCTCAGGTTTGGCTGATGACGCCAGTGAATACTCCATCCGTCTCTATTTAAATATAACCGTGGATGCATGTCAGTCAAACTTTATTTAGTTTTAACTAAGTTTATAGAAAATATTAACAACATTAATATGTCTAAATAAATTTATTATAAAAACATATTCAACAATCCGTCTAATAATACTAATTGTGCACTATAAATTTTAATATTTTTTTTACATGTTTAGTGGAAGTTAAGTATGTTTAACTTCTCAAAAAACGATAACAATGGATCGAAGGATCCAAGAAAAAGAGTGAGAATAAGAAATGACTGTGAAACTGATAAGAGCGAGTGGAGACAGGTGAGAAATTTTTTAGATAATAAAATATAGTTTCTTTTGAATTTCAGGGGGAGTTCCCCACCTGTATTATATTATATTGGCCTTCAAGCGGCCCGCCAGGAAGTTTACAAGGACTTACATCATTTTGATTTTAGTTACAGAAGCCACCGCAAGCACATCCCTAATTGTGTAGTGCTTCGTGCAAAATCGAACACCATTTAAATGAAACACAATTTCAAAACACAAAGAAATACGTAGTGTGTATATATATATATATATATATATATATATATATATATATATATATATATATATATATAGCCTGTTCGTTTAGGCTTATATGATCGTGGATTATAAACTGTAACAATATTTTTCTCTCATATCAAATCAGTCAGCAGTACTTCTGACTTATAATCCACGATCGTCTTAGTCGAAACGAACATGCTGATAGATATAGACCGATATATCATTTGTCAAGTACGGAGTAGAAAGCAATAAAAAGACACGGAAACTTTGTGCACTTTAGAACAGGGAACTGAAGACTTGTCTGCAGAAAAACCGATCCTGTCCAGCCTCAGCCTCCTGAGCCTGCACGCCTCGTCCGTAGTCACTATCATCCCATCCGATGTTGATGTTCTCCGCCGCACGCTGCCTCGTCCCTAGTCTGTACCCCCACCCGCACGCGCCCACCGCGGTCTCAGCCAAGCCGCGCCGCTCGAGCCGAGGCTCCCGCCGCGAACGCTCGTGGGACGACGATGACGGCGGCGGCTCAGATTCCGACGTCGACGACGGCTTCTTCGGCCAAAAGCAGGACGAGGAGGCGCCAACGCCCTCCCCGGACGTCCTGCCTCGCCAGCGCCCCAGCTGCGGGGTCCGACGTGCTGCGCGCGCTGCAGAGGGCCGCCGCGGCCAAGGAGGCCGCCAGGAACAAGAAGAAAGACATGAAGAAGCCGGCGGTGCGCCAGCGGCAGGGGAAGGAGAAGCCGGCGGGTGGCGACGTGGAAGTCCGGGAGGTGAGGCCTGTGGTGATAAGGCCCGAGTGGGCGGCGAGGATCCGGGAGCTGGAGAGCTCAGGGTGCAGCAGCTCGCCGTCGACAAGTAGCCAGTACTCAGTACTCAGTAGAAGGAAATGAAGGTAACCACACAACCAGTGGCCAGTGAGCAGGGGTTGCTCTGCTTTTCTCATCGTGTTGCTCTCTCAGATTCTTTCACTGTCTGCCTGTCTGTCTCAAAGATAGATTCTTCCAATTCCAAGAACCAAATGATCAGATAGACAATTCTGCTGCCCACATTATGTTAGCACTTGCGTTCCAGGCTCCCTTACTGCCAACTGATGTGCAGAAGCACTCCAAAGTCCAAACTGATGTTGGCAAGGCAATGAAGCTGACATTCCATGACCTCGAAGGCACTCCTCAGATCAGATTGCAAGACCAGAGATCCGCCTATTCTACGAGCAATGTGATCGAGTATATGCTAGCATCCAGGTCTCTCTGCTGAATCCTGATGAGATAAGAATTCTCAGGGGATTGTTGTTTTCTTTTTCCTCTGTTTATCTCCTACTGATGTCTAACTGCAACTTTCACCGGTTGCATTCAATGGATCAATAGCTGTGTAGTAGTTCTTGTCAGATTTATCAATATATACAGTGAGAATCAGTGATGGTCAGATCAACAAAAAATTGTGACATTGCAAATAAAGGTAATTAGGTTTTTTGAAAATGCTTTCCATGGTGAATCTATTAACATCTATTTTTAATTGTGAACCTATGTATTTGTTTATGTATTGATTCTCGAAGTGAAAAAAAAAGTTTGACATTCCAAATTCTAAAACTGCATGTATTTTGGATCAGACTAGTTTGTAAACATACACAAATTTATAGTTATATTATCCACTTAGGAAATCTAGATAAATGGTGGGTTCTACAGCTTCTGTAGCTGTCTTACATTATTCTAATTATGCAAATTTCTGTGGAACAACATCATATTTCTTATTTCTTAAACATTAGATGGCTTTCTTTTTGTATTGTGAGCATCCTCGCTACTTGGGCCTGCAATGGATCTTCAGAGCTGATTTTGCCAATCTACTCTCAGAAACTGAAGCACATGGTAGGGATAGCTTATCTGTATTGTTTTTTTTTTGCTTGGCTTTAATTGAGGCCTTGTTTTCTAAACCTGCCATTTGTCATGATGTACTTTTGTTCTGAGACTTGTCTAATCTAACCTTTTAAACTCCGGTTATCTATATGCCCATGAGTAACAGGGGTGAAAGATAACGCCATGGATATTCCCACTGAAAAGTACTCCCATAACATTGCAATTTATTAGGTTTATAAACACATTACAAGAAAACTTGGTGGTGTTGAATCCGTAAACAATTTTGTTGACATGTGAATTCTCCAGGTTCTTGATAGATGCATGCTCGAGCTAGTGGACCACGAGTGTTATTGACCAGGCAACCTACTGAAGGGCGAAGTCGTGATGGAGGTTTTGCAACACTAAAATATTCTGCAATTATATGACTTTGCCCCTGTACCCTTTCTTGTTGATTATCTTGTTGCCCTTGCTTAATATTTTCTCTTTTTTTATAGGTCTTCGTCATGGTGAAATGGAGCGTGACTGTTTGATTGCATATGGTGCTAGCATGCTCATCTTTGAACGTCTATTGCTATCCAGTGATCCATATCAAGTCCAGGTGATTTTCGAAGTAGTTTATTTCCTTTTGGAAGAAGCTGGAATTGTTCAAGGGGCATAATTGCTCATGATGTTGTATTAGGATTAGTATGATTATGAAACCTAACACAATATCAGGTGGCTAAGCATTTAAGGCTCTATCCAGGAAAATAAATTTGATGTATTAGATGTTAATCCGTTAATGGACGAGCATTTCAAAAAAGTTAACCCTGTTTACATTGTTCATGACATGGTAGATTTTAGATTTATTTGACCAGTGCCATCACAAAGCACTTGTATTGGGCATTGGCTGTGGGCTCACATTGTTTATGGATCTGAATGTTGGGGTCAGGTTTGCAGAAAATGTGGCTTGTTGCGGGACTACAATCACAAACTGAAGACTCTGCACTGTTCAATGTGCAAGAACGGGGAAAATATGGCCAAGATGAGGCTGCCATATGCTTGCAAGCTTTTGTTCCAGGTATTGCCGTATTGCACTGCTTTGTTGGAGTTGTGGTACAATGTTTGTAATAGGCCATTAATGAACGGTTGTCCTCATGTGTGTTTGTTAATTTTTGCTAGGAGTTGCAAGCGATGAATGTTGTTCCACGACTGAAGTTAACTGAAGGATAGCTCTAGATTGCAAAGCTATAGAATGGTGGTTTGTGGAGGTCCTTGTAAAGTTGGATTGTTGCAGGCTTGGTCCATGTGACATAGGTGCTGTTATTGTCAAGTGCAAGCAATGCAATTAATTAGCATCACTACTGTCTGGTTTAGACGTAGAATTAATGCATGTATAACTGGTAATAAATAAAATGGAAACGTCAGGCGGGACCTCGGGAGAATTGATCGGCATATGTACCAATTAATTAGCACCACTTCTGTCTTACATACTGGTTTCTTGCAGGCATAATATCATGCTGATAAACATATATCATATTGGAGTTTGCACTAGCTAGCTAGTTGCACAGTAGTAGCAGTACTGTATGTATCATAGAAGGGAGATGATGGCGAGGGTGATGACCGCCTGTTGAAACAGGTGTTTGCTCTCTGCTTTCATGGGTGGCTCCAAGCCCTGCTCCTCGAACTCATCCTCACAGGTGACGGGCGCGTCGATCGTGGCGCTCATGGATGTCTTGGCGTCCGCATACCTCCTCTCCTCGATGGCTGCAATGGAGCTGTCGAGGTCGTACAGGGAGTTGTGGTACACCCCCGTGCACGCTTCCAGGCAGGACCTCCGGGGAGACCATGGCCTCTCCTTCCTGCTGAGCTCCGCCATCTTGGCCTCCATGCCCACCGCGCCTGACCTCACCAGCTTGGCTGAGATCATAGCGAGTTCGTGGAGGTCCGCCTGCCTGCTCTCGGGGTCCGACGACAGAGATGAGACGCAGAGGGTGTAGTTCACCTGTGGGTTGCCCTGGCTGCATCTCTCGCAGGTGTCGGTTACGACGTCAGTCAACTGCGACGGCCCAAACTTTGTGTTGGTGGTGGCCATGGCTGAAGCTGCAGCTGCAGCCGAGGGATTGTTCTGTTGTAGGAGGAGGATTGTTATTGTTATCAAGGAGGAGAAGAAAAATGGAACAGAGACACAGGAGCAATAGCAAGGTGGTGGTGGTGGCATCTTGTGATAGTACATTGCAATTGCATGCTAGCTACTATCATCTGCTACTTGTTGGAGTCTCGAGCTCCAGGGTCGTGGCCTTTGTTGGCTTGGATGGCCTCAAAAGTCAAGGCCACTGTTGTGAACCCCATCCCGAGCGAGGGGTCGTACGCTTGTCTCGTTGGGCGGTATTTGAACGGTGGGTCATCGTAGTGGCTGCCACTGCTTGGTGTTGTTGTCTTGTCTTCGCTGCGTGGCGTAGGGATGATGTCTGACCGGACAGAGGGGACTGTTGTCCCCTCGGTCCTTGCAGGGTCAGTGCAGCGTGCCTACTCTTGTCAGAGCGGACGCACCTGGCAGAGTCCGATCTCTCCCCATTCCTCCTAGGGGTTGGGACGGAGGAGAGGTCGTGTGAGGCTGCGTGGCGTGCGGTGAAGGCAGAGAGAAGAGGTCATGGCCGACTTCCGCTTTGGTGTTTGGCCCAGGTCCACGTAGCTTAATTGGGCCTTAGTCGCTCGGGCATATACCAGTTCATGTACCGTGGGCCGCCCGAGCGGCTGACTAATCGATATCTTGAGATACCCGAGGTATCATAACCCGACACTATATATTAACATACTTATTTATTAAATAGTGTTGAAGATACTATTAACAAATTGTGAGACCCTCATTGCACCTCATGTAATGATAGGTGAACTCACCGTGTGAGTTTATCATATGTGAATAATTGTTCTAAAAATTGTAGCAGCAAAAGCAACAACAACCAAACTGTCGGCAAGAAATTTCCTCCCATGCCGAGGGCACACGAGCAAGCTGGAAGGTCCGCTCGATGGAGCTGGAGATCCGCCTAGCTTCAGCGCAGGGATGATCGATCCTGCGCACTCCTCTCGAGACGCATCAGTCAATTTGACCCTGCAATTGATAAGAAGAGAAAAATTAATCAATAATTTAAGGCGGAACATGCCGGTGTTGCCAGACAGTCCCGAATGTGCGGCTCTGAGAGCCGATATGGAAGGAAATCGACTAAATAGCCGATTCCAGCATACTCATAAGAATAAATCAGTTAAAGCTTATGGGGTTGTGTAAGAAAAATCGGTTATCATTCAGGATGAATATCGTTATTTAGACAAATATTAGTCAATGGCAATAAGATGTCAACAATAAGTAGTTTATGCTAAGCCAATGACTGTAAGTAACCGAATCTTTTTTATATAAAAGAAACAGCTCATCATCATTTAACAATTTAATAAAGATAAATCTAATAAACATATTAGATCTCATCTATCGCTATGATTAGTGGGCCATGAGGCGGAATCATGCAGGCCGTAGAAACAACAATAGATTCGACGACCCTAACTTATTACTAATATCAGTGGGGCATGAGGCAGAATCATGCAGGCCATAATACAATAATAAGATCATGGGGCTAACACATCTCTCAACCTATCTTTACTTCAACGGTCTCGTAACGTGAACTGCATAGATAAAAGCACTCGATATCAGCTAAAACAGCCGATTCAGGCATAACGCACAGTTAAGGTCATGCCATATCAGAAACAAATCTACCAAATAACGATCCCCACTCCACGGTGCTAACAGTGGGATGTGAGGCAGAATTACACAGACCGTGATAACGGGCCATGAAATGGTTTTTGTTAGCCAACAGATCTATTAAAGACAAAACATGCCTTAACCGCACACTATGCACGATCAAGATTGACATAAAACGGCCGATAAAACATAACTCAACGTTTAAGATGCATATTAGATTAGTTTAGATTATGAAACGATGGGTTAAACAGGATGTAAGGCCGATCTAAATCAATCCCAATCGGGCGAAGTGATATTGCTCTAATTAAATAAATAATGGAAGCAATAAGCAATATCGGTAACTTAATGAATCTATCCGAAGGAGCGTCACCATTAGATAGAGCCGATAACTTGACCTTAATCTAGTTCGAGCAGTGGAGGTCGACCGGATCGATGCAGCTTTACTTGAACTAGACAAGAGTCGATAACTAGCTTATACCAGAGTCGTAGTGAAAGTCGACCGGATCGATGCAGCCGTACGAATAGAAGTATAAGCCATGATGGTACTTATAGACAAGCAGTGGAGGTTGACCAGATCGATGCAGCCGTACTTGCTAAAGAACTCGTCGAGATCTACTCTACTCCTACTCCTAAGGGGTGGCCGGAGCCGAAAAAAATAAGTAACTTGTATTTGATTGATTGTGTGTCCTTTTACAATAGCCGGGGTACAATATTTATACCCGGGACCTACGCATGACTCCTACCTAAGCACGACTCATCACAATTTTTGGCCTAAGAGAAAATATTATGAATTTAGGATAACTTGGACCCTAATCTTTCCCTTTTTGCAGAGTCAAACATGTTTTGTTTCGGCACCGATCATAGCCTTTGTCGTTATCTACTGGCGCTATCTGAAGAAAGCTGATTCCAGTGTTGCATTTGAATCAGCTGATACCCACCTGCATGCAATTGATCCCTTGATGACATGATCTTGGGAGCTTTTCGACTCCCTGCGATTCTTTTTCCGAATTTTGGTCTAAACACATGCCCCCTAATTTTGCGATAAAAGTAATTTTATTCCAAAATTATCACGTCTGCACCCCGATAGGTCCGTAGTCATGGGTAGAGAATCTTAATCCGGGGTCTACTGTTTGTTACCGCCTATGTCAGCTCATGAGCCCATGCTTCAAAACTTTTACAAGAGCATTATTGCTTTACGGGGGCTTGGATCCATCCTTCCAGGCCGACTATAAGATGTCTATCTGATTCTAGCGAGAGCAATTCAACATTTCAGTCATGTCTCTCTTCTATCTGCTCCCTAGAGTGTCTCTGACCCTGCCTGACCCTTCATGGTCTATCTTTCTGCCATGAAGATCTTGAGCGATTAGAAGAATTCTTGTGCATAGGGTGATTGTGTCACTCATCTTAGCACCTTGTCGAGCAAGAGGATCAGCTACTGCGGTTAGAAGAATTATTGTGATATCACCTGAGTCTTCTCTCCATGCTCGTAGAGCTGTTCTAGTGTTTGCAAGGGCTAAAATGTGTGGACACTTTCCCCTTGTTTGCTCCATCCAATGCCCATCGGGAAAGCCACATGCTTCTTTCCCATAGTTTCCCAGTCACCGAGAAATCAGCTGGGCATCTGTTAGGCAGGCGGCGTTTCCCCTTCTCTGGTATAATTTTATCAACGGGCCGATGTGACTCGGTTTATGATGACCTTCGATCCTGTGGGGATTCAAACTCCCTTCAATCCAAAGAAGTCTTGGTGGGCTGATTGCTGGTCAATGTAAATCTTTCGTGTCCATCCCACGATATTTTGTAATTTGGGGAAGCAATAAGTCCGAATCTGTTATCTCTTCGTTATCCATCCCCTGAATTTTTGGAGTGTCGATCCGTTTCCATATCTGACTTTAATTTCACACCCCCGGCAAAATCCATTTTCTCGCCTTCCCAGGCTATATATATGGGCCACGGTTGTGGATCGAAAAACAACTCGCTTCGTCTCAAACCTTTTGCATCTTTAGTGTAGTTCCTGCTTTTCCGTAGGTTTGAGATCATAGAGAACAGCAAGAGGTCTGCTGAGGAGGCCCTCAATGGATCCGCGTCATCACGCCAGCGCCTTCATCACTAGGAGGGTGCAACTCGTGATGCTCTCACTACTTCGGGGCATAGGGCTGGCTCTGTTTAGCCTTCGAGGTTCTCTTCGTTAACAGCTCGCCACTAGCTTCCTTGCTATCCGAGGAGGCAGGTCGATAATGATGACCTGCTCGCCTCCATCGATAGGCACGGTCAGAATCTTGCCAACTGTCTTTCCCTTCCAGAATCAGCTCTGGCTATGGTCCAATGCCGATCGCCTCCCGAGGTTGATTCGGTGGAGGTTGGCCAAAGCCGAGGCCAGAATCGCGGGTGAGACATCTATCATAACTTTTGCTTTTCCTCAATTTCATCTTCAAGATTCTGATCATTTGAATCCTTGAATCTTTTAGATCTAACTGC